GAAAATGAAATAAAAAAATTAAAACGTTTCGATATAATTGGTTTACGTATATGGTTAGGTAATAATGCTGATGATGATGATGATAATCTTAATTTAATTAATCAAATAACTCATTCATTTGGTTCAAATCATAAATATTGGGGAAAATATTGGTCTGTATATCAAACGCATAAACTTCGACCAAATCATCTTAATTTAACATTACGTGCTAAAGTTCTCTAGTTTATTTACAGATAGATTTGTTTATATAGATCATAGTAACAGTCAGATGATTTTTGTTTTCTTGTTCTTTTTTTTTTTTTAATTTATTTATTTTATTTTTTATTTTTTATTTTTGTCGTTTTTGCTATGATATTTGTGTTGGTTTTGTTTTCTTGTTTGTTATTTTAAAAAAAGGAAGAGAATAAGAAGAGGATATGAAGATTTTATTGATATTTATATCATCTTTGATTTTTGGTTTTTTTTGCGTATTTATTTAAGAATGTTACAATCAGATAAAGCCACAACATTACCTCCATTATGGTCTATTGATCGAAAAATGACTCGTCAAATAACTTCACATGAAAATGGTACTTCTATTTCTTCTTCACCTTTATTATCTTCTCCTGTATGGGATTCAACACCAATTGGTAAATCAATTTATTTACGTTTATGTCAATGTGAACAATTATCACCACAATTAATACTTGAAGATAAAGTATTTCGTTCAGCAATACGTTTACAACATGGTTCAACATATCTTACACAATTAAAATTTGTTGGTACATTAATAATTGATGATGAAACACAACGTTTAACATATGTTATTGATCGTTTACAATTATCGGATTTAACTAAAAATGAAATTAATAATCATCATTCATTATTACCTAATAAACAATTAAATGGAGAATTTCTTATATCAATTCGATGTGATAATAAAAATTCAACAACAACAAATTCAGTTAGTAATTTGATACAAGAAGGAATGAAGGTATGAAATATTCATTTCAATATCAAATAAAAAAATGAGAATAAATAAAGATTAATTGTTTGAGGTTATGACTTTCTTTTTGATCTAGTTAGATTATATTCTATTGTTATTATTAACAATAACTTGTCATTAAAATGAGAATCGTAACATTTGATGATTTAAAAATCTATATGAAATATTAGTTGATCTTATTGACGAGCGAGGAAAAATTTGTTACATATTGTTAACGAATTATGTTCAAAAGAGCTATTACAAGGAGCACTCGAAAAAATTTTCAACGACCCTACGGACAAATATTCAAAGTATAACTGTTAGTGTTCAATGCACTTGTATATTGAATTATGCACAGCCAATGGAGTAGTTTTGAGGTCATCTTTTGTCAGACCAGTAATGACTTGTTCTAACATGTATACCACCGTGTCATTATGGTTGAATTCAAGTTCAATGTAGATGGTAGTGAAGGTTTGACGGTAGGAAATAGGCAATTGAGATGATGTCTGTAAAATGTCATAAATTTGAATACGATGTCATATAATCTTCTGCTCAAAACTTGCTGACATTTGCAAGTGTTCGTGGTCTCACATTTTCGTAAAGAAAACTTTGACTCGAAAGATTAATCTTCTTTTTCTTTCCTGACTCAATTAGAAGGTTTGTTCTAGGCAGTAATTGGCAAGCAAGCTTTCGTTTACTAGATACGAATAACGTGACTTTGATTAAACTGGATTTCATGAAGAAACTTTGAAATATTTGTTTGTATGACTTCTTGGTTCTGTAAGGCTTAGCAACTTGTAAATGAGTTTTCACATTCTAGTATTCGACTAATTCATTATATTTTGTTCATTATAATTAAACTATGATCTATCACTCATCATAATATAGAATATAGAATTGATATATGAAAACTGTTTTTAATCGTTAACTAGCTGAAAATACACTCATTGGGCACAACACATTGTAGAACTTTACAAGTACGAAAATAATTGAAATAATTGTTGATGAAATGATAATCAGAATGTTCTCTATTCATTTGTATGCTCAATAAAAACCATCTTCAATTATTGCAGGAATAGCAGTCAAACGTTTTTTTGGCTACAAAAACTAGGAGGTGATCTCAGTGTGATGTGACCTCACAGCTGAAATTACTGTCTAAAAATTAATCAAACGAATTGATTAGTGTAGGACCTGAAAGTGTTATGTTCTCTTATGTTCATATAAATGATCATGACTTCGCTTGTAATCGAAGTCAATGTGTTTGTAATATAAAATTATTTTTTGAGAGTATTCTCGTTAGAATTCGTAATATATCTGAAAATAATCCTAAATATGTCTAACGAGTGAATCCCTCAGAGTGATTAGTCGCTTTTGAGTTTGGACTCTATATATAAGATAGACTCTAGTGAATTATGAAAAACGCCAGAAGGCTACACGCTCTTAGACATCTACTCTAGAATTATAGCCACTTTACTGGATCTACTTGTAACTCGAATGCTCTGGAAAATTCAACTCTAAAGAATGTTTCCTTTTTAAATAGATCTAACTGTGGAAAATTTTCAAGTCGAAATATCACCAGTCGATTTGTTGGTGTATATCGTACCACAAGTTAAAATTCTAGTAAAGTGTTCATAACTTTCGAAGGAATGCCTAAGAATACTTATCCTTCTGGATTTTTCCAGACTTCACTGACTTCTATCTTATGCATAGAGTCTGAACTCAAAAACGATTAATTACTTCAAGCGATTCTCTCGTAAGCATTATTATATAACGTTTGTACTCAAATTTTAGCTCTTAGAAAAGTCGAATGAAAAGTTTTTAGCGTGCACTATATAAGAGAAACTTTGATTAGTTCATCTGCTGATAAGTTATAGTAGAATGGAGTATATTGATTTTGACTTAAAGTGTTTTTTCTTTATTCATCTATGTGTAGATAATCGAGACTTATTGTCGTTCATCTTTACCAATTGAATTACATCAATTTTCATTTCTTCATGGTCAAATGTTATCACGTTTATCACCATCAATAAATGCTGATTTATCATTTGATCTTTTAACAATAAAAAATAGTTTTAAATTAACACCAATTAATTCTGAATATGTTCAAATATTACCAACAGCTTTATTAAAAAATTTAAGTTCATCAACAGGAAATGGTGTTTATATAAATCAACCACATTTTGGTTATTGTGGTTTAGATCGAATGTCAAAAAATAAAATTTTATTAATACTTGAAAATGATCCACAAGCATGTGCATTACCATTAGTTGGAATGTAAGAATTAGAAACAAAAAAAAAAGATTTCAATTTGATTTTTCTTCACTTATGATTTTAGTTGGATATCTGGTATTGTTGATGTACAATGTGCATTTGTTTGGGCAGCATGTCTTCGTTATTGTATGAATTCATCTCTTAAACAACGTCTACGTACTGGAGTCAATATAAATAATATAACACAACAATCATTTTTACTTGCATGTTATTTATCTACATCACGTGGTCAATGTGATTTTTATGAAGTTAATTCAATGACAACAAATTCAACATCATCATCATCATCATTTATTATTGATTATGATTTATGGACATGTTCAAAAAAAATTATTATGCCAAATCCACCAACATCACATTCACATGATACAAATGTTAATACACAATTACCATATGATTTTGAATTTAAACATGTTTATGATGGACCAAAAATGCATGCTTTATTAGGAGCACATACAGGAAATATTATT